ATTATCGTCACATGGCTATTACACTTGTCAATGATACAGGTATATAATTGAGGGGATCTTCCCTGCTGTCATTTTTGTAGATTGGAACTATGTTAGCCTTTTTCCACACATCAGCTACAACTCCTGTACACAGGGATGCCTGAAAAATCAGTTGAAGTGGAATGCTGAGCTCAGGTGCACATTCTCTCAGAACCCATGGTGTAACTCCATCTGGACCAACTGCTTTGTTCTTACTTAGCTCCTTGAGCATTTTTTTCCACTTCGTCTCTAAACACCTTTATGTGCTCTTATGTTGTTGTTTGGAATTCTGGAATTCTTATTCTGTCTGGTTCCCTGAAGATTTCATTTTGTACAAACACACTTTGGAACTTTTTGTTTAATGTTTCACACATTTCCTTTTCATTTTCCATGAATCTGCTTCCCATTTTCAACCTCTGAATGTTATCCTCTACCTGCCATTTGTTGTTTATGAATTCATAGAATAGGCCTGGTTCTATTTTACATTTGTCCGCAATCCCTTTTTCAAAATTTCTTTCTGCCTCTCTCCTCACTGCCGTGTAGTTGTTTCTCGCATCCTTGTATCTCTGGTATGTTTGGGGGTTTGGCCTCTTCCTATATTGATTCCATTTTTGTGTCTTTTGGTCTGGTCTCTCGCAATTTCTGTTGAATCAATCCTGTTTCCTAGTTTTGCATCTCTGCTTTGGTATAAATTTTCTTTTGCCTTTATCATATATTTCACAAAACTTGACATACATCTCATTTACTTCATGTCCTAACAGCAAGTCTTTCCCAGTCAAATTCCTTAAAGAAATGTCTGAGTTCCCCATAATGACCTCTCCTGAAATCAGTTTTTTAATTGCTTCAACCTCATTTTCTTCCAGTTTATAACGCATTGCATTCCCAAAAAGACATGGTTGCTTTTACCCAAGGAATGGAGGTACTGAATGTCAAATATCTCTTCCTCTTGTCTGGTAAATATCAAATCCAGCATGGAGGGACATTCCCTTCCCTTCCTTCATCCTCGTAGCTTGTTTAACACGTTGAAACATGAATGTTTCCAGGATGAGGTTTATGAGTCTACAAGTCCAAAAATCCTCTGTTCTAGCTTCATAAGGCTCCCAGTCTATGAATTTCAAGTTGAAGTTGCCGACTACCAATAGTCGTGATCTATCTTTATCAGCTCTCACTATAATCTCTCACTATAATCTCTCTTCTTATTGTTATAAGACCCTCACGTTTATTATCCAGCTCCTCCTTTGACCATGTGTTGCATGGCGGTGGACTATATGTATTTATGATCGTTAGTTTATCATCCTGATTGCAGATCTCTAGTTCCATTATGTCAACTTCTCGTGGATTGGCAATCATTATTTCGTTTACCTCTAGGGGTGCTTCTCTAGGGGTGCTTTCACCAGCACAGCAACGCCACCACCTTTCCTAATTTTTCTGTCCCGTCTCCAAACTGAGTAGCCCCTTGGGAATATGACCTCATTTAAAATATCATCTTCAAGTTTTGTTTGTGTGAGTGCAACAATGTCTGGTGTCTGTAGCTGTACTACATCACTTAACTCCCGTATCTTTGATCTTACTCCATCTATGTTGGTATGTGCAATTTTCAGGAACATGTTCTCCCTCTCCTTATTCTTCACTACCCCTTTCTCTAGTAATTTTGTTGGTTTGCCTTTTTGTACTATTTTACTGGTCTGCCTACCCCTATCACTTTGTAGAAAAAAATGAATTGATTTCTTCTTCATTCCTGCTCTGAATGGTGGTAATGTATTGCTGTGGCTTGCTGATGAGGGGGAACCCAGACCCCCCACAAGCCTTTCCCCCCTGTTGTTGACATTAAGCCTGCTTGCTGGTGTGTGTTATGCTGCTGCTATCTTCTTGAGGTTATCTTGAGATAATTTCGGGGCTTTTTAGTGTCCCCGCGGCCCGGTCCTCGACCAGGCCTCCACCCCCAGGAAGCAGCCCGTGACAGCTGACTAACACCCAGGTACCTATTTTTACTGCTAGGTAACAGGGGCATAGGGTGAAAGAAACTCTGCCCAATGTTTCTCGCCGGCGCCTGGGATCGAACCCAGGACCACAGGATCACAAGTCCAGCGTGCTGTCCGCTCGGCCGACCGGCTCCCTGCTGCTGTATAATATTGGTCAGTTTGCTGATGGTCATGACAGCTCTCTTCTCATTGCTGTCTAGTTGTTTCTTGTTTGTAGGTTTGGCCTTTTCCTATAATGATTCCACTTTCTTGGCTTGTTCTCTGGCCCACTTGCAGTTTCTATTAAACCAGTCTTGGTTTGTATATTTACTTCTCTGTTTTAGTATAAATGTTTGGTTCCTTTCTCATACACCAAAAACTGGCATACATATTGTTTATTTCCTTACCTAATAGTTAGCCATTTCAGGCAATCCTAGTAAAGAATTCTCTTAAAATCCCATATCGTCCTTTCTTACAGTCAGGTTTCTTTGTCTTACTGCATATTTTACATCTGAGATTACATTGTCACTTCCTTATTGGAGGCAGGTACTGTATATAAAAAATCTGCCCCATTCCTGGCAGATATTAGATCCAGCATTGATGTAATGTCTCTTTCCCTGTTTCTCGTTGGTGGTATAACATGGTGATACACGAATGTCTCCAGGAAGATATTCATGAATCTCTGTCCAAAAATCTTCGGTCCTTCCAGCCTATTGTTTTAATGTTCAACTCTTGAAGTACTGTACTATCAGTCATGCTTTTTTGTTTTTTAGTTACTACACTCAAATTCATTATAAGTCCTTCTCTTTTGTAATTACCTAAGTGTAGTTACAAGCTAAGAGCTCCACTTATAGTGTCCTGTATTACCAGTTCTCTTCGATACCATCAGCAGTTACACTTTGTAACTGCTGATGGTTTTGGCCTCCACCACCACCACCTCACTTGTTCCAACAATCTGCTACTCTTATTTACAAAAGTGATTTTTTTGTTTTTTTGCAGCTTTGCTTCCTAAGTTTCAACCTATGTGTTCCTGTTCTTGAAGTTGCAGTTTCAAAAAATTCTTCATTGTCAATTTTGTCAACTCCTGTTCCTATTTTCTATATAGTGATCATATCACCAGTTTTTTTTTCTTTTAGCTTTGGTATTCTTAACACTTCTTACTATCCATGTAGTTATTTTTTTGTTTCAGAAGTCATTTAGTTGTAGGTTTTTGCACCTTTTCCAGTTTATTTATGTGTATCTTGAGAAATGGGCACTATTCAATTGCTGCATATTCCAATCTTGATCTCAACGTCGTGAACAGTTTCTTTTAATATTTCACTGTCCATATATTTAAAAGCGATTCTGAACTTGAAAAGTGAAGCATATGCTGCTTGTACAGTGTTCTTTTTGTAGTCCTCGGGTGATATTTTTCTATCTGGAACCTGGCCTCGGGCCGGGCTTGGGAAGTAGAACTCCCAAAACCCCATCAACCAGGTATCACCCCTAGATCTCTCTCTATCAGAAGTCTTTATTAATTAAAGACTGCACATAATTTGTAGGTTGTGAGTGGACTAATATCTCCTTTTCCACAATCCATAGTGTGGCACTTATTCCTTAAATTCCATTTGCCAAATGTTACTCCATATCCTTATTTTGTCCAGGTGGTCTTGTAGGGCATGACAATCTTCTGAGTTTCTTATCTTCCCTCTTAGCTTGGCATCATCAACAAACATGTTCATATACTGAATTCTGTATTCCTTCTGGCAGATTGTTTATATAGACAATGAACAATACTGGTGCTAGAACTGAACTCTGTGGTACTCCACTAATAACATTTCTCCAGTCTGATACATTGCCTCAGATTACTACCCTCATTTTTCTGTCAGATGAAATGTCAGAAGTCCCTTTCCTTTCATCCCTCCAGTGTATTCCAGTTTCCAGAACATGACCTCTGTTGAAGGAGTTTGTCAAATGCCCTTTTTAGGTACAAATAAATGCAGTCAACCCAAGCTTCTCTTCCCTGTAAAATCAGTGACGCCTATCATAGAAACTAAGTAGATTTGTTACACAGGCTCTTCCTGTTTGAAAACCTTACTATGTTATGTAATTTCTCTCCTGGTGTTTTGCCCATTTCATTTTAATTATTTTTTCTAATGCTTTGATCACAATGCTTGTCAGTGATACAGGTCTGTAATGACGAGTCTTCCCTGCTACAATTTTTAGACTGGAACTGTTAGCCTTTTTCCATATATCTGTCAAGATTGTTTAGAAAAAGATGATTGAAAAATCAATTGAAGTGGAGTGGTGTGTCCAGATGTGCATTCTCTCAGAACCTAAGGTGAAACTCTATCTGGACCAACTGCTTTGTTTCTACCTAGCGCCGTTGGCATTTTTCCACTTTGTCTTGAGACACATCTATGTACTGTACGAAACTCTCAGAAATTCATATTGTCTGGTTCTCTGAACACTTCAATTTGCATAAACATACTTTGGAACTGTTCATTTAGTGTTTCACACATTTACTTTTCTTATCCATAAATCTCCCATTTTCAATTTCTGGATTTTGTCCCTTCATTGAATTTATAGAATTGGCCTGGACCTAATATCATCATTTGCAATCCCTTTCTCAAAATTTATTTTTGCCTTTCTCCTCACTGCCATGTAGTTGTTTCTTGCTTGTTTGTATTGTTGGTACATTGAGGGTTTGGCATCCTCCTATATTGTTTCAATTTTTTGTTTGTTCTCTGACCCTCTCGCAATTTGTTGAAGCAATCCTCCTTTCTAAATCTGTACCTCTGTCTTGGTATAAATTTTTGTGCAGCTTCATTATATATCACAAAATTTGGCATGCATCACATTCATTTCTTTGCCCAACAAAATAATACCCGACAATAGTAACTAAAATCTACATACAACTACATCCAGGGAATCACTGTATGATAATCACACACTAAGGGTTAAATAGGTTATATTTTAGGAGTCCACTTCTTAGCAAATTATTACTGTTTAAAGAAATATTTTTTTCTATCTCTTTCACAGTGGTTCACGGTGTCCATTGAGAGACAGATGTACTAACAAAAGGTTCCAGAATTTCCAGTATGGAAATGTTGAGGTGTTCAACGCCGTCGAGAAAGGGTGTGGTGTCCGAGCGCGCACTCCCCTGGCACCGTAAGTTATAATTTTTCTTGTCTGTTTATTAAATTTTAACTTTATCTATATTCAGATTTTCGCCTGCATGTTTGCATTATTTAGATCGAGATTTGATACTGATTGGCCCACCAGTAATCTTGTGGTTTGAGTGGATGTATCAAGGGTGGCATACAACAGATTTGTTCTGCATGAAAATTAAGTATATTGTACTGTACTAGTAAGTAGAGGTAGGAATGTTTACTGGGACCAGTAATATTCACTTGATTTGTCAGCAGTACCCTCATCAACACTGCACCAGAACACACACACACACGCGCACACAACTAGAATTTTGCCATATTTCGCCAGTATGAAGATGGTGCAATAAAGATCCTTCATTGTGGTGGCAAGTTTTTTCAACAGGCTTCACATTTCCAAATTATCTTTTTTTCTAATAACTAGTCATTTTGTTTTTGTTGCCTTAGAGGGAATCACCATTTGGTAATCATCAGAATCATTGTTGTTTTGCTGTTGGGAATTTGACAGCAAATTTTTACTTTAAATGGGAAGGAGTCAGAAGGGGTAATAAAGATCTGATCTGTTTCATGTATGCTTTATTAGCTGTGTAGAGGCATCTAGAATTCTTTAATGCCAGTGTTTATTCTTTTTATCCATATGTATTATGACTATAAACAATTGGTATACTAGTTGAACTGAAAGGTACTACTGAATGTACAAATTTCCAGGAAATAATTCCTGTGCCTCAAAGGGGGTGTGACTTCAGCAAGATGTCAGTGCATGAGTCATAACCTCTATGACACTGAGTGCCAGCAAATATGAGATTGGAATCTTCACCACGAAAACTTGGCAAATCAATCTTCAGCTGCTATACAGGCATATAAGTCACACAGCAGCAGCTTAATAGAGCAGGTACCACTAGGTCCAGGTGTTGTAAGTGGTATGCCAACAATAACCAGGTGCTATTGTCATGTGTTATGTAAAGGAACCCCTTTATCTTTTATGGGCATAGTCATGAAGGGATTTTTGGTATCAGTACTTTACTGAAGCATTATTGCTCTTGCTTAGTTAATTGAGTGAATTGCCTCTAGTGTTGCCCGAATAATGTGATTAATCCCACATATTGTATTCTGTGAAGGAAACAATTTGTGCATTATAAAAAGGCTTTATTTATTATTAAATTAAATAAACAAAGAAGATTTTTCAAGGTCAATTGTAGACAAATGTTTTTGGGGTAAATGTAATGAAGTGTGTTGTTGGTTAGTTAATCTATAAATTGAGGAAATAATTTTTGTCAATGACTATAAAATGCATGTAGAAATGAAACCCCCCAGTGTTACTAAAGCATTTTTAGCTGTATGACTGCAAAACCTTTATGTGGTGGAAAAAGACAAATTTGAATATAGTGCATAGAGCATAGTTTGAGTGTAAAACTTGCCAGGTATTTCACACCTGGACATACCAGATGGGAAGGCCTTTTCATTTATTTATTTTATACCATTTATCCGTCCCATCATTTTATTATTTATCCCATCTTCCCAATCTCAAAATGAGAATGCATTAAAAGATTGACTTCAGAACTGCTATACAGTACAGGTACTGTAATTAGGCATTATCTTAATACAATATTATCTTAAAAGTTTTTGGGTGGTCAGTCAAATGATTAGTTTTGGTCAACAGTGAAGAGGAAGGCATGGGAGGGGGGGGAGGGGGCAGTCTTGTACACACAATATCTTGGTAATGTTGAACATAAGACTTCAGGCATACATACCTGGGAGTAAGTCAGAGATATGCCAAGTAGTGTTTTAAGGTTTTTAGTATACTGTAGAAACAATTTAAAAATGTTTATTTTCTCTCTCTTCAATATTATCAAGAGCAGTGATAAGAAATTGGGTAAAACTATGCAGGAGGATATCCTTCCTTGATGGGAAGGAACCTTAGTGGAGGGTTTTGGGAGAAATAGTGAATGTATTGTATAATGCATGTCCGGATCCTCCTATCGTGTAGTAATTTGTCCTTGTGGCAGCCAGATTAGATGGACTATCATCTTTACCTGCCATTCTGTTTCCTGAATTAAGGAACTCATCCTCAATACACTACCCATGAAGTACTCTTACGTACTCAAAGAACACCTCTTCAATGAATCCCTCATCCTCAATATATTTAGGGAGCCGGTCGGCCGAGCGGACAGCACGCTGGACTTGTGATCCTGTGGTCCCGGGTTTGATCCCGGGTGCCGGCGAGAAACAATGGGCAGAGTTTCTTTCACCCTATGCCCCTGTTACCTAGCAGAAAAATAGATACCTGGGTGTTAGTCAGCTGTCACGGGCTGCTTCCTGGGGGTGGAGGCCTGGTCGAGGACCGGGCCGCGGGGACACTAAAAGCCCCGAAATCATCTCAAGATAACCTCAAGATATTCCTCCTCAGTGAATCAAAAGTTATCACAACTTGTGCTTGGTCCCAGGCTGAGCATGGGGAGTAGAACTCCCAGAACTCACTCCAGGTACAATCCCTCATACTCGAGATCCTTTACTTCTCCTTAACCCTTAGTCTGTGCAATACGTACATACAGTATACGATTTGACATAAGTTTTTAAAACTTACACAAACACTTTCCAATTATTTTTTTTCATAATCAACTAGTCAAATGCTTCAACTTTGTCAAAAGGATTACAGCATAACTTGAAAAACAAGAGAATCAAAATTAATTTTAAAATTGAATATTGAAAACTTCAAATCTTTTGAGTTTCAATTCTGAATAAAAAATATGAACTATCACCAATTGTTCATTTAATGTTATTAGTCTCTCAGAATAGCATATGATTTTCATTTTCATCAAATTAGAATATAGGTTTTCAGTACTGTACAGTTTACTGTAAAAAAAATTGTCAATAAGGCATTTGAAATATGCTGCAAATTTAGTCCAAAAAAATTAAAACTCCAAATGTATAAAGTTTATGAAAAATCCATTCTGAAGATTGTAGAACAGACAGCTGAACACACAATATGTCAAAATAGTGAGAATCGGTTAAAAACTGGTATTTTAGAAGTCGCTCAAAGTTGAAACTCTAGTTTCAGAGATAATTGAAGTTGAAGTCATCAACAATGAATAAAGGTAGTTTTAATTGTATGTTTTAATATACATTGTTTGGCATTCATACTCGAATACTGTATGTGAAGGTTGTAGGTCAATATGTGTTGAAATGAAGTCAAGAAAAAAATACCCCCCAAAAAACACAAAATATAGGGAGAATTATAATAATTATAATGATTTAGGGGATATATTTTGGTATACTTTATATGAGTGAAAAAGCCCTAATATGGTTCCTAATCATCAAAACAACCTAAAGAGACAAAGAAAATAGTTTGAAATCAGAGAAAAACTCGGCCCCCCCAAAAAAATTAAAAGTCCCAAGTTTTGAGAGTTGTTACTGATTTATTTGTTGACCAATTTCATTCTATCTTCACATAGTTAGAAATCAGATAATAAAGAAGGGAGAAAAAAACACTAAAATTTAAAAAAAAAAATCCCCTAAAAAAATATTTTTTTGACTGATGACAGTAACATATATATTAACATTGGATAATGTATTTATATGATATATAACAAAATAGAGCATAATCCTTCAGTTCCAGTTAATAGGAGCTGTTCTTATCAACAAAACCTTCTTATATTTTAAAAATTTGTCTAAAATCAATTTCTGACAATATTATGATGAAAGTTTCACGACACTGAAGCTAAAAAGTTGGAGATTTGTTTAACATTTTATAGTTATTTTTACATAACTCAAATATTTTTCGCTTCTGGGCCCCCCAATATGCACGGTTTAAGGGTTAAAAAGAGTCCCTCATCTTCAAGATACCATAACTACTACTGTATTAACCTTTTTGCTACACAAGTCATTTAGGGATGATTTAGAGTAGCAGATAAGATTTAAAAGTCTCACACATACACGGGGCTCACCTGTGCTTCCCCAGGCTTCTGGTAACAATCTAGAAACAACAATCGTGAGACCCACCCTTTTCTTCTAGAGCCTTAGTAATAAAATGAGGACCATTCCATGCCATCAATTTCTCCAGCTTTGAATGGCACTGATAGTGAGCAATAATATTTCACCCTAGAGAGCAATAGTGTCTCAAAGTAGCATCAACGGCTTAGCATATCTTGTTTGAAATGTTCCTGTTATTTAGTCTGTCATTTTTCTTGCAGTTGTGACAGCGACTTTGTGTTCTTTAAAAGTAAGGTCTTCTGATATGGTTATTCCCAAATCTTTTACATGTGGTTTTTTATTTGAAATTTTTTGCTTCTCTAGTGATGTAGCTGGAACGTGCCTTCATTGACCATTTTTTTCTGTGGTTCATTGGAGGATGCATCTTAAATACTATTATGTAATTTAGTTAATAGAGGATATACTCTATTAAACTTTTGTTTGATAAATGAAAGATTGCAAAAATAACTGAACATATATTTATACAGTATTGAATTTTCAAATAAGCCCAAAAATTGTCATATAACTCGGATGGTTATAGTTAGGTCATGGCAAATCTTTCAATGACAAAGTTTATCAGAAACATTTGTCAATTAAATTAACACTTTCGCGCTCTCCGCAAAGGTCACTCAGCCAACCGAATGTGCGCGCTGCGTTTTTATCGCTTAAGCGTAAAAACAAAAATGTGTATACTCTTTTTACTCTTCTGACCTTAGTTCTCATGCTACGTATTTCATTTTGGTACCAACGTGTTCGCAATAAAATTCTCTAGAAGAACATCAGTAAAATAAGTCACGAAACATATAGGGATACCAGCACCAAATAAATAACTACGTAGATGACTCGCCGTGAGCGCCCATCAGCAACAAAATGTTTTTACTCTTGGGATTGTAATCACCTCCACACTTGTTCTACAGCGTTAATTTTGGTATCAATGGACTCACAATGAAATTCCCAACACGGTGATATGAATATAAGCGTAGAATAATGATGCAGCTCGCCCGCAAGAGTGTGGGAAGTGGTGAAATTGTT